GATTATTTTCAGGATTTTTAGGAAAGGTACACTTTCATCTCTGATTATAAATAAAAGTAAACTATTGATTTTATTTTCTCCTTTTTGTTTGTTATCACTGTTACATAAACATCAGTTGGTATGTGTCATTATACCTCCAAAAATTTAAAATTGAATTAAAACTTATTATTCTAATACCTTTTGTGCTAGAAACTATTGTAGAAATGATATAACATAATATTGATTTTATAAATAAAAATTAAAATCTGTCTTAACTTTCCTTTTTCTAGTGTATGCATCTTCTTTCTTCTTTCTGATGGCCAACATGGTGTCTACCAGTAAAATATGTATAATTACAAAGTAAAAAAATAATATTTCAGGCTTCTAGAGGTATTATAGTCTGAGCTATTAATTTAGTAGTTGAACTACCACAGAGGGTCTTGGCAAATTAGTAGGTATCTCAGGTTAAAAGACAAATGAATCTTCTACCTAAAACTCGCTGTAAAGAGGAATTCTAAAGCTTCAAAACTATAAACAACTTGACAGTCATTCTATATGAACGTATTCTGCTTTTAGGAGTTTGAAAAAAGTAGTCTAGAAATGCTACACTTGAAGGTAGAACAATATATGTTTCCATGTATTTCCTAACTATTTAGAGCTCGAGATTTTTTTTTTTAGTTTCCAAATATGTTTGTTTTGTTGCTGATACTAACTTTATGTGATAGTATGTCTGTATGAAAGCTATGGAAATATTATTCTGTGTCAATAATTTAGGGATAGTAGGTAGGGTGACCTAAAGGATTATTCAGTGGCAACACACTGGTAGGATATTAATGATCATATGGAATTTATGTCTTATTTAATGGTGTTAAAATGTTCAGTGAGGTGATAAAAATGACACCAAAGTAAAATAACAAAGAGAAGTATTTTAATAAGTATAAATTAAGTAAAATTGCTTGAATATATAAAAGTAACTTTTTGATCAATAATAATAAGTTTACTCATTTCTTTCATATTTTTTAACTTTTTTTTCATTGTGTATATCGTTGAATATACTTACAGACAGAAGGTTCAAAATTGTATATTTAAAAGGTTTTAGGCTAATAAAAAATACAAAGTTTAAAACAAAAGGTTTTTTTTTATTAAAATAGTATTTTAGAAGTCTAAATATTGATACAAATATAAAACCCAAATTACACTTTTTTGTTGACTTGAATATTTATTTAGACAGTTTGTACCAAGTTTTATGGAACTTTATTTAGTATTTTTATTTTGTGACTCTACCAGTGTTGAAAGTCAGTCAGGTGCAGCATTCTTGTAAGTGATGATTCTATGCTAACTCGTTTTAGTAAGTCTGTTGATAAAGCATGCTAAAATTTTTACTTTTTTCAGGTTGTTTAGTTGAAGAGCTAATAATTTTATTAGATTTTGTGCTTAAAATCCATCAAAATAGCTTGATTTTTTTTAAAATTATTTTTTAGTTTCTTAGAGGAATTTTAAAAAGAAGGACTGGAGAAAAATGTTTTTCTTTTGAAGCCAGGTTGGATAACCTGTTGAGCTGTTTTCAGCTACATGTAGTTGACTATTTTAGTAAATACTTACAAGAGGTTCTGATATCTGCTAGCTAATATTGCTTTATTATTGTAATTGTTTTCAGCCCTTTGGCATGCATTTTTATTTATTTTTTTAGCTGGTGAAATAAAATTAGCCATTATGCTTTTAATTTTACCAATTAGCTGTTCTGTAGATACAATGGTTCCAACATCAAATGTTTGACTAATAAAATACATTCTTTGAAAACTATGAAATTAGCCTAAATATATTAACAATTGGTTTACATTGTGTTTTGTTTTTACTTTTATTATAAACTAGATTTTTATTTTTTCAACAATTTTTTTTTGTTATTATTGTATAAAAATATGTTATGCTGATCTCATTCAACATAATAAATTTTAACCCTATAATTATGGGCTCCCCTGTTCTGTGCATGCCATGAAATTTTACTTTGTTACATTCAAAACTAAATTAAGCAATTTTACGATTAATGTATGTCAATGAAATTAGCATTAAAATATATATTATAGTTCAAAGTTTTATATTATCTAAGTTTTAATTCCTTTATTTCAAAAGAAACTTTAAAGAAAAATTCTTAAACTTTTGTTTGATGTAAAAGTTCTCAAAACTTAACTTCTGGACTTTGTAACTTGAATACTTGTTGAAGTATGCTAACCTTCCATGTATAGATAGAATATAGGTTAATTGCTCTGTTTACATATTCTTCTTTCAAGCTCCTTAGACCACATTTGGAGAAAAGAAAAGAATATTCTTGGAACTCATGACAGATGCCACACCCACTTTCTACATATAGAGTTGCAAATTATACTTAATTGAGCTAGATGTTTATAACTAATAGAAAGACCATATTTTAAAATACAATCTCCCAATAGTTATTTTGAAATTGGCATGTAGAATTCAACAGAGAACTTGTTAAACTGCTCTTGTTGCTGCTTTTGTCCTTGCTAGCACTTTAGCATTGTTTCTCCCCTATAAATATGTTAGTTAGACAATTAAATTGTATTTAGGTTTTAGTTTTTTATATTTTAGTTAATTATGCGTTATTTAGGTTTTAAAATGCATATTAGGTTCATAAATTGTATAAAATATAAGCCAAACTGCCTCTGTACATTAAGCTTAGAGTAGTAGGTGAATGTCCCAACGTTGTGACGAAAGCTAAAGTGTCTCTGCCTATGATACCCTAATATTGCCTGAGAATGCACGTGTTGCAATAAGTAGTAATGCTAAAGGACAGGAAAGGAATGTAAAACATGAAAAATATATGTGAAAAAGGTAAAATCTTACAATTAAGAATATAACCAAAAGAAGATTTTTTAAGATTATTTGACAAAAAATTAAAAGGTGTGTACATTTTTTCTATTTTTAATTTTAAAAACTTCATTGCACAATACATTGATCGTAATACTTGAAACATTCAGTCTTGAGTGCAGATAACTACAATACAAAAATAACAAATCTTTAGTTAAAATACTTAATTAAAATAGTCTCATTCTTTTAGTACAAAATACTTGTAATCTTTAACAAAATCTTACCAATTGTTGTGAAGATATGTTAAGAAAGCTCAGAGTTACTGTAAGTATTGTTGAACTGTGTATCATTCTGCATATGAGAAGTAGCCAAATGGATTTAACCCCGTTAACTTGCAAGTAGTATTTATAAAAAATTTATAATATCTTATTATTATTATATGCAATTGATTATTGTTTCCAGGATTTATTAATATATTTTTCAAAATCTTTAGATTACTATTGAATGATTTTAGATTTTTTAAATCATTTAATCTAATATCTAATGAAGAGAAAGAGAATAGTTTGTGAAAAAAATTAACATGTATGTTTCAGGTAAGAAATCTAAATTTTTATGATGATTATTATTATTTTCATGTTTCACGATTATGATATATAGTAACATAGTGAGAAATATTCTGTGATTTTGATCTCGTTCATTTAACAGAGTTCTCCAGTTAATGAACTTGACTGATGCTAGACTAGCTCATGGAGGATGTGAGAAGCTAGAACTAGCCATGCTCAGTTTCTTTGAACAGTTCAGGAAGATCTATGTAGGTGACCAGGTACAGAAAACATCTAAAGTGTATCGAAGGCTGTCTGATGTATTAGGCCTTAGTGATGAATCCATGGTGTTAAGTGTCTTCATCAGAAAAATGTAAGTATCAAAATTATCAGTAAGTAACTAAAAGAATATTATTAACTGATCTTTAATTATGCCTGTAGGCAGTTTTAGTTTCTGTCTTGTTTCATTTTTTCTAAAAGTTAGAGATTGCTCACTTGAATTATGAACTTTAAGGAAACTTATCTTAATGTATGATGGTTTGATTTTAGATGGTTTACTGTAGGTCTGAAATCCACAGTAATTTGGCTGTATGATCCCATTCTGTATTTGCATTGATTGAAAGGAATTACAGTTATCATGCAAGTTTAGTAGAATACTATATTTGTAAGTTAAAGATGTATCGTGAAGTAATTTTTAATAATAATTTCAATAATACATGCATTACTACTATTTGAAATTGATTACAAAACAAAGATAAAACCTTAATATATTATGAATGGAAATTATTACAAGTAAATGTTTTGCATGATATGTAACACAAATAGAAAAAAGTGTAAGCTACTATTTTTTTTTATGAAGTACTGACACATGATACCTTTTAACACACCACCTATTGCATCTGTAGGTCTATCATGGTTACCATCAAACATATTTGCATACTCCGCTGTTTTAAGATAGTCTTCAACTTTTGCTAATCTTATTATCATAAAAGAAACCAAATTTTTCTTCTAAAGCTAATATTTGTACCCATCTTATTGCATTGAATAGTTATCAACTGTTTTGAACCTTTATGGTCAATTTCTTTGTCTTTTGTATCTTAAATGTAATTTCCCCAAAAAGGGGCCGAAGGCTCCCTGGAGGAGTCGCCTGTTTCAACCACTTCCACCACTATACAGTAGTATGTTGTCTGTCAGTCAGTCAGTCATTCATTAGACACTAAAATGGCATCACATAAGGGATACTTAATGTTGCAATTCCGATACATTCTTATCTCACACAAAGCTACTCTCAATCTTCTTTCTGCCCCCAAACATTGCTAAAAAATGTTAACACTCAGTGCACCAGTCTATATACCTCACAAATTTCGTGCCAATTTTCAACAATAGTATTACGCCACCTATGGTGGCAAATCTAGCTCCCTCTGATGTTCCTGTTCAATCCCCACTTTCTCAATTGCCACAGCATCATTTAGATGTGTTTTTTCATGTGACTACCGTTTATGATTGTGCTTCATTCACATTTAAATTTTTTTCTTTTAACAGTTTTCTTTTACTGTGTTTGCATTCAGTTGCTTAAATTTTTCTTTTTGCATTTGTTTATTGTCACTGAATTATAAGGGAACTTAAATGCATTTGCAATTCAGTGTATCGACTATGGAAGTTCTTGTTATGTTCGACAATGCTACTGGTATGACTACTCAGGCTTTGGGTTTGACTTGCAGAGGTGGTACAAGCATTAATTAGCAGGAAGCTAGATTCATGTATTTGGCCAGTGATTTCTTCTTTTCAACCTGACAATGTTTCTGATGTGGAATACAATGAAGGAAATGACAATTTGGATTAACTTTGTTCCAGCACCTTCTTATTTTGGTCTGTCACACTCTACACCTCATCAGGAGACCTCACCTTCCACTCATTTTTTACAGCTGGTTAAACAGGTGTGTGGTATATGACATCTTTCCCTTATCTCTTATGATGCCTCCGTATCCTTATTGGGTGATATTCCTTCTACTGAATTTTTGTTTTTCCCCTTTCATCCAACATAAGGGTTTATGAACAGCAATTTTTGGAACAACTACAGTTAGGTGTTGGCATGCCCAGACCACCATGCTTTGGTGTACCATTGCTCATTAGATCCATGTTTAGATTTTCAGCAACTGGATCCTCTCCTTCCTCTTTGGGGTTTGAATCCTGAGGCTAATGTTGATTTTAATCAGGCACAATTCTTTAGGATTTGCTTTTCTCTCTGCTTTATACTAAGACACCTGTCTTCCCTCCATTTATTGTCGGAGGCTTTTCATCACTCCCTGGATTTTTTTCTGATGAACTAAGTCCCTCCTTTGGTCCACTGTGGCTCGTTTATCAGTTTCTGTCCTTTTCCTTAATACCTGGTTATTGTGCTGTTGGGACTTGTTGAGGAGAGATATATTACTTGTGGGGTTGTTTCTCCTCCATTCATATCTGGGGGGATCTGTACTTTCTTATGCAGTACCATAATTCGGGTCTTTCAGATTCTTTGGAATCAAGGGTTTATGTGGCTTGGTAGCATTCTTCTTTGTCTTCTCTGGCCACATGATTATCTCAACTTCCTTCTTCCTACCAGGAGGTGCCTGTCCTTGTTTCCCAACCTCCTCTTTCCTCACCCAGACCCTTACCTTCCTCCCAGCATTCCCGACCCCTACCCTTTTTTTCTAGCTCCCAAGCTGAGCAATGTCAATGGCATAAGTGATTCCATGGCAGGTTCATTTCTTCAGTGTGGGTTCTACAGGTTCTGTGCGGAGATTTCTGCCTTCAGTTCTGGTCTCCATCTTCTCTTTCCCATTCCCCTATTTCCTTCCCACCTCCATGGGATCCTACATCTCTCAGTTGTCTTACTCAGGTGATCCACTACCTGTTTTGCAAAGAAGCTATCGAACAGGTATGACTCAAGCAACCAGGTTTTTTACCCTTCCCTTTGTAGTCCCCAAGAAGACATGGGATTGGAGACCTATCATTCATCTGTCCTGGTTGAATTTCTCACTGAATCCCCTCGTTTTACTATGGAGTCCTATCTTTCACTTTGGTGGGTGTTTTCCCTGGGACTCTGGATGATCAAAATTGACTTGATAGATGCATATCTTCACATCCCCATTGCTCCCGAGTCTTGTCATTCTCTTTGATTCTTCCACAAGGGTCTAGTGTTCCAGTTCCGGGCACTACCATTTTGACTAACCTCATCTCCTCATGTAGTATGAATTTTTGCCCAAATCTTCACTCATTGGGTCTTTGCCCTCATCATTACATGGATGACTGGCTTCTGCTCACTTCTTCTTGTTCATGGTCCAGGGACCACACTTGTATGCTCCAACATGAAGCAGATGGGTAGGATTCTTGATAAAATAGAAGTCCATTCTTACCCCCACTCAATACCTCATTCATTTAGGGGTTTTTCACTAATTCCCACCTTTGTTGGGCCCAGCCTTATCCTCTTCATCTTTGAGATATGGAGTGAGCAGTGCACAAGGCCCTCACCTCACATTCTTTAACAGCTTGAGAGGTTTTATCTTTTTTAGAGATGTGGGTTTCCTTGAAAGCTCTCCCACGGGTTAGGCTCATATGTGTTCCCTTCTCCTGGATCAATGAAACTTCTACTCAGATCCCTTGGACCACCCTTTTACCTTTCCTTCCCCAATCAGGGCCGACTTTGCTTGGTTGTTGTACAGAGACCAAACCATGGCAGGGGTTCCAATTCCTCCACCTCGTCCAGATTTACATCTGTTCACAATCACATCTCGAGAGAGTTGGGGTCTAGAGGTCTCTGTGCTTTCAGAACCTGGATCTCCTTTTCTAGGCCCACAGTCACCACATTATGGTCTTACCTTACCATGTTCCTTGCATCCTGTATCTGGTTGCAGATCAGTTATCTCGACCCAATAAGATTATTTTCATGGAGTGGTCCCTCGATCCACAGGTCTTTAGATGGGTGTGTTCTCAGCTTGGGACACCTCATATCAATGCCTTCAACACCCACTGTAACAACAAACTTCCTTCCTTTTGGTCTCCCATTCTAAACCTGCTAGTTCTGGGAGGTGGATACATTCAGTCAAGATTGGAGGGGTCTTCACATCTATACTTACCCTCCTAATCTCCAGAGTTCTATCCCTAATCCAAACCACTCTATGTCTATTACTCCTGATGACTCCATTTTGACTGGTGCAACCTTGGTTCCCACAGCTCTGACCTTTACTTGTGTAACCTCCCCTACCCTTACCTCTGGCTTTTGTTAGGTTCCTTGCCTCAACCCAAGGAATGACTCCACGTGTTGCGAAATATTGGGTTCAGGATGACACCGCCCTCTTCCTATGGTTGAATGCAGTAGAGGCCCCCTTCTAATAATTGCTGTTGCAGGAGGTTTTTTTATGGATTGCACCTCTCAGAACAAATTAAGCTTGTGCAAAACTTTTTTTTCACCTGTATCAGGTTCATTTCCTTCTTACAGAGTGTAGAACATACTTGTTCTAGAAATAGTGCTGTGCTCCACACGTGTGCTTCAATTTTGTCTCTGAGCACACCAGTTATTTCTAGGTGGTTGGTTTCTGCTTGGTTTCAGTGTTAGGCATATATACTGGCCTTTCCACCTTTTCATTGTGGGATTCTAGCTTTGTGTGAGAGGATGTAAGACTGTATCAGAAGTTAACATTTTCTTCAACTGAAAATGTATTTCCAATAGGTACTTACCACCCTTCCTCCTCGCTGCTGGTTTTTATTTTAGATCCTGCCAATTCTTGAAAGTGATGATGGAGCAGGAACATCAGAAGGAGCTAGCTGCTCCAAAATAGGTGGCACAAAACTATTGGTGGAGGGTGGTCATATGCTATATACATGTTCAAAAGTGGTGCAAAATTTGTGGGGTATATATAGACTGGTGCACTGAGCATTAAAATTTGTTAGCAGTCCTTAAGGGGTAGAAACAAGATCGAAATAGCTTTGTTTGAGTAGAAGTAAGTACCTATCAGAAATAGATTTTCAGTTGAAGAAAATGTTAACTTTGTACTGTCATGACGTCAATAAGATGTGCACATGCTATAGATAGCAAGAAGAATTTTGCACTCTGTAGGCTACAACACAGCATGACATATGAACTTGAAAAGTAAGAAAAAAAATATTTGTTACACTTAATTTTAGTTTTATTTACTCATAAAACAGAACACTTTCAAGGACCCTACAGAAGTACATCTAGTATTTTAGCTTTGTTTTTTTCTACTGAAGCTAGTGGGGATAGTAGTAAAAATTAAATTATCATATAGCTTTCCATATCAACAAAAAATATATCTATCATAAAGAAAAAAAAGAAAGCTACTTTCTCTGTTTGGCTTATCTGTCATCAAAACAAAAATAACACAAAAGTCTGCTTTAGCATAGGCACACGATGGTAAATGTGCACTGTCATTCCTTTATCATAGAAATATAATGCAACAACGAGCAATAAACAGAACAGTGAAGCATTTAATAAACAAACAGTAACTTAACAGTGGTTGTGTAAATGTAAACTTTTTCTGAAAATGAATTTTTTTAAATGTTAAGTAGAAATGTATTCAGTATAAATATGACTCAGCAACAGCTGGAGTAGGAATAGTTGTTCCATGCTCACACAGTGTGTTTAATCCTGGTTGGTATCCCATTTTCTGGTAGTTTGCATTATGTATATTTTTTTTTTCCCAAATTGGATTCTAATTTCTTTTATGTTAAATACATGAATTAAAAATGATACTGATAGTTTAAAAGATGGAATACAGCTGACAAGTGACTCCCAAAATTTTGTTAACATCCTATTTCTGAAATTAAGAAATAAAAGATATTCAAATACCATAGTCTATGGGCATCCTAAAATTTGGGGTATTTAACTCAAAAGTTTTCAAATACTAAAAATATTTATATTAATGAGTTAATTAGTGTGAGAAAAAATAGTAGAGGTGTCACATTCAGTAAAGTGTATGGAATCCTAAAAGAGAAATTATTCCTACCATTTCAACAGCTAATAAATAAAGCCCTTATCCTTAATAAGTGGTCCATGAGCAATAACATGTAATGTTTGGTATAGTGAATTAGTAATGCCTGAGACAACATGTGTTGAAGGGGAAATTATGTAGTGTGAACTAATTGAGCATTATTCAATGTTTAAACCATTAGCACTTTAAAGTGCTCTATATCGTGCTAGTTCAAACCATTTCAACCAGGGAAAAAAATTATTTAAAACAATTTCTAAGAAACATGTAACTCTTCATTCCTTTCAAGTAAAGTCACCAGAGGAAATGAATGTTTATAGATTGGGAGCTATTACTGTTTGGCAGGGTTCATAAACCAGTTCTTAATGGTTAAGTTACTTGGGCACTTAGATATATTTTTAAACATTTAGTTTTCATTCTCTTGCATGGTCTACCTGAAACTATTAGAATATATTCCATCAAGATTAAATATAGAATCTTAAATTTATACCAATCTCTTATTTCTTGAAGTAAGTTAATAGTTTACTATTTTTGAAACAGAGAAGTATTATCTGTTTACCCAGAAAAATACTAATGTTAAATTTTTGTCTCAGTAATTTGTTATTTATAGGATCATATGATGTTTTAGGATTTATAGTTGTTATTTTTCATTTATTGCTGAAGAATTACCAATTTGAAGTATTGGAGCACTCAAGAACAGATTATAACAAAGACCTTACAGCTGTTGAATGACCTGTCTGTAGGCTATAGTAGCGTGAGGAAACTGGTTAAACTTGAGGAAGTTCAGTTCATGTTAAGTAATCACACTGTAAGTCCTGTCTCCGTCATTTTAAAGAGAGATTCTACTGTATTTTTGGTTTGGCTGAAACTGTGACTGATAATTTACTTGCTTATTTTTATATAAAAAGAGTGCATCTTTCAAAATTACGAAGCCAAGAAACATATACTAATTATTTACAATTATCAAGCTTAAAGGAAATTTTTAAAAGAATAGTTTGAAAGTACTAGTTAGATAAGTAAAAGAGATTCAGTTTAATGTTTTTTGTTTTAAGTATATGCTTTGTATTTCCAAGGAGTTTAATATAACTATTATGAAATGTATTCAGTATTTTACAATAGAGGTGTTTCATAAGTTACCTTCTTTGTAGAGTGAACATTTTCCTTTTTTGGGAAACAATGCACAAATAGCAGACATGAGATGTCGTTCGATGTTTTACACATCTATGGGTCGCTTGCTAATGGTAGACCTTGGAGAAGACGAAGAAAAGTTTGAACATTTTATGATTCCATTGACTGGTAAGTTGGCAGGGATTTAACAGTTGGAGTCAAAATATGTGTTGCATTGTAATGTATCGCATGGATTTCAGTTTTAACAGTTAATAACATTAAAATTTCCAAACCTCAAAAGTTAGGTTTCAATTTTGTCATCCTCTTGTGGAATGAATGAAGTTTGTTTTAATGTAATAGCTGGTTTACTTTAATAATCATATTCATATTAGTATTTAATGAAAAGCTGAGATAATACACTGTAAATAGTTTATAATGTAATTGTTAGTACTCGTGTATTTGTAATTTTTTCTCTATTTTCTTTTATAGGTGCTTTTGATGCTATAGGAAATTTATTAGCAAATACAGAATCACCAGTTTTCAACACAACAGAAGCAAAAGTTGGTGTTTTTTGCTTATTATATATAAAATTTATGGTTTCAAGTATGTATAATTAAATTAATGCATTTTACTGAGTGAAGAAAACTCATTTTTTAGTTTTGTACTGAATAAATTTGGAGTTGTGGATCAATCAAAGTTCTTTTGAAGGCCTATTGAAAAATTCCACTATTTGTGTCAATTAGAAATAAATATTTAATATGATCTTGAAAATTATGTTTAAATACGATTCTAATATAAACAGGGATAGAAATAATTAAATATAATTACATTCACTCAAGGGAAAGTTATCAAGAAGGTTGCATTCCCTCATGTAAAGTTGTATTTCCTCATGGATTGTTTTTTTTTACATAATCCGTGCAATATGTTCACTTCCATTGGGCATACGAATGAACTGTGCATTCTCAGTCGGGAAAGCCAACTAAAAAGACGAAATTCCTCAAACAAAGTTAAATTCCATGGGAATGTAATATTTCAGTCCCTGGTAAATCAGTATTCCATCATTATTAAATTGTTTGCCCTGTTTTGAGAATACATTAGCTTTTTTGGTGCATTTTGCTTGTGCTACTCACCTTGGAAAGATGGTAAACCCATTTCATTTTTCCACATAATTGAAAGACCGTGTTACCTGCTGTGGCAAACTAAGGCTATTGTTGGAAATTTAGTATGTTTGGAGTTTCAGTAATTAAAGTCATTGGGCACCTGTACTCTTTCTGGATGTGTGGCATCTTTTCTTTACCAATGTTTGACAAGTTGTGTTTGGAGAGCCCATGGTGAACAATGTGCTCATTGCAGCATCAATAAACTAAGCCTGTATAAATGGAAGTTTGGTTGTTGTATGGACAGTCATCATTATGATTGGATCTTACCATGCTTCCAAAAGGTGGACTATGTTTGGTTTATTACTGAAGTCAACTTTCATGTGTACAATTGAATCAGACTTGTCCTAATGCAGGATAATGTCCAGTGTCCAGTATTATGATTATGTACAATGATTAAGAAACCACGCAACTTAAGAACTAGCCAATAGGAAGTCTTAACTCTGTGATCTTTTTGGATGCTTTGTAATCAATGCTTTAAACCTACTACATAATGCCAGAAAGCTTAATATTGCACTGAGTGAAGTATAGAACATTGTTCCCCATAACACTGTTTGCCAGTTGATTAGAATTATTCCCTATAAATTATGTTAATTCCAGTGGATTCTTACTTGTTACCTTAAGTCCAAATCCAACGATAAAATACAACACTAGTTTCACTACAAAAATTTGCAAGAAGAGGAACCTTTGCTGGTAAAATTTGAAGGGCATCCTTCTTGCTATATCTCTGTTTTATGTCCCTATACTGTTTTGTAATTACAATGCATTTAAATAAGTTTTAGGTCAATTTCAAACTTTTTAAATAAATGCAGGAGTAAAGGATATGCATGAAACTAGGAATATAATGTTTGAAGGCATTTGCAAAAATCTGGGTTATGTGAAAAAGTTGCAGCTAAAAAAGCCAATGTATTTCACATGTAACCATGTTCAGGTATTTAAACTTTTGACGTTAGTATAAAAATTGAAACCTATTGAGACAGTGTACTATAAATTTCCTTTGAAAATTAGAATAATTAATTTTGTTTTTATTGGAAACGTGACCAGAAGAAGCTAAAACATCAGTGTCTAAACAAAACATTGAAGCATTTTGTTGGGTTCAAAATATTGTGGGGATGTTTTTCTGTTTCTAGGTTGGGAGATATCAAAATTGATGGTATTGAGGAGAAAGGACAGTATTACAATATCCTGCTTCATCATGCTGTACATAGTGAATGCTGTTAATTGGTTGTTACTCTGAATTTGAGCAGGATAATGATCCAAAATGTATTTACTGCCTTCCTGAATAGTAGAGAGCTAGTTGGAAGAAAAGGACAGGATTAATGAATAAGAGCTATAAAATGGAAGGCTCAAAGCACCAGTACTAATTTTTTTTTAATTTGTAGCGGCAGTTGAAAAGTATATGTGTAATGCTATAAAAGAGAAGGCAATTCTTGAAATGTTGAACATCAGGGAATTTCTGTAAGAATTGTTTCTGGCAACAAAGAGTGGCAGGGATTATTTCATGACTGATGTGGCACAAAGCATTTGAGTGCCAAAGGTACAGTATATTTATAAGCAAGCAAAAGTACCCGTTCCCAGTGATGAGAAAAGTTAATGTTAATCTATCAATTTAAATTATTTCTGAGACTTTAAAAAGGTTAATTGTGTTGCACTCTTGATTTCCGTCAGAGTCAAATCTCTGAGCTACTTATACCTCCCACCGCAAAAAGGAATTATTGATCATTTCAGTCATGCTAAGAGTTTCTCAACAATAACATATGGTAAATCTACATTTTCAAATGTGAATGATAATGTGATTAATTCCTAACAATTTAGTGTAGAATATCCTGCTTGGAAATAAAATTTGCCATCAACATTATTCATGCCTGTTCTCCCATCATTTTAAAAGTGAATGTTGAGTTTTTCCTGTGTGTGTGTGTGTGTGCAGTTTTTGAAATGCAGTGTGGGAAGTGGCTGCTGTAAACAGGAGACAGAAGAATATTCGGACAGTCACCACATTTTGCAATATATATAAGTTGTGGTCTGGTTGTATTTGCCAAGTATTTTTTAAATGTCTAAAATGGTACAGTTGGAGGGTACATAGCCTTTTCATGCCAAAAGATATCATCTAGAAGTAGAACTTGAGCAGAAAATCTAGTTAACATACATACATACATACATACAATGATAAAAGCCAGGGTTTGATTCCTCATGGCAGATGAAGCACAGATAGCCTACTGTGTAGCTTTGCCCTAAAACAAACCCAAATCTGGGGAGGAGTTTCTCTTGCATAATGGGAAAAGAAACTGAAACTACAGAATTGGAAGAAACTGTGAGTTAAAAATCTCAAAGAACTGATAGTATCCATATCCAATTATTATTCTCATATATATTTAATAGCAAAGGTGGAACTATAAACTATTGATTGCTAGCTGGAAGTTTTGTAAATTCATGATTAATGAAAGGTTATCTTAGGACATGAAAAGTTGCTTCCCTTATATGTAATTGTAAAAAATGCCCATAAAATTGCAAGACACAAAATGTGAAACTGCAGATATGCATGTATCTCTGCATGGACCCAACAAACCTTCATGCCAAGGTTGGTGAAGATCCATTAATAGGAGGTGAGGTAGTGGTAAAAAATGCAAAACTGAAAATTTGTAGGTATCCTCCCATGAACCCAGTGAACCTCAATACCAAATTTGGTGAAGATCTATCTACAGGGGGTGAAGTAGTGGTGAAAAATGCCAATAAAAAAATACAAAACTGAAAACTTGTATATAACCCCTAATGGACCTAATGAATGTCCATACCAATTTTGGTGAAGATCCATCCACACCCTGCAAAGTAGTTAAGTGGACATACAAGAGACAGTACTATTATATTTATATAGATTCAGTTTGTGATTCAAAATAACACTTTTTTCAGCATTTTTAGAAAACTTGAGTGTTAAATCATTTTTAAATCAAACATTTGGCAAAATTTTTCTTGATCATTAAACTTATTGAACTATAATGGTGCCTCTTTCCTTTTACAGAAAGCTTTAGTTGGCTTAGCAAGGGACTTGAGAGGTTTGACATTTGCTTTCAATACCAAGACCAGTTACATGATGCTGTTTGAATGGATGTATCCTTCTGTATCATCTGGTGTTATTATGAAGTGTGAATGACATATGTTATTAATTAGTTTCAATTTTTTGACTATGCATTTTTTTTTCCAAAATGTATACTTGGTGCATCTAAATTCTATTTTCAACAATAACACAAAAACTAATTTGGCATTGTTTTTGAAAAAAAAATTCATTAGGTTTTTTTTTGTATTATTTTAAAATTTCTCAATGCTCATGGAGAAAAACTGTTTTTAGGAATACTTCCTGAGACTTAGTTTCTGTGAAAAGTACAAAGAACAAAAACATTTGAAATTCCCAATGGCTACTCATGCTTTGCAAATGTAATATTGTCTTTGTATAAACTAATGTCTACTTATTATTGCAAAGATAATATTGTCACTACATAAAGTAATGGCCACTTTAACATGCTTTGCAAAGATAATATTGTAACTACATAAAGAAATGACTACTTTAACACGCTTTGCAAAAACAATATTGTCTTTCCAAAAAAATAATGATTGTGTATGTTTTGCAAAGATAATAGTTTTTCCATAAAATAATGACTATGTATGTTTTGCAAAGATGATATTGTTTTTGATAAAATAATGACTATGTATGCTTTGCAAAGATGATATTGTCTTTTCATAAAGTAATGGTTATGTATGCTTTTGCAAAGATGATATTGTCTTTTCATAAAGTATTGGCTATGCATGCTTTGCATAGATGATATTGTTTTTTGATAAAGTAATGACTATGTGTGCTTTGCAAAGATAATATTGTTTTTCCATAAAATAATGACTGCATGTTTTGCAAAGATGATATTGTCTTTTCATAAAGTAATGGTTATGTATGCTTTTGCAAAGATAATAAATATTGTTTTTTAATAAAATAATGGCCATGTGTGCTTTGCAAATATAATATTGTCTTTCCATAAAGTTATTTTTAAATTATTTATTTAAATATGATTGAACATTTAAAATCTTAACAGTTATTGATCAGTTACCCAGCTTATACACCTGTTCTTCATCGAGCAATAGAACTTTGGTATCACGACCCTGCAGTTACCACTCCTGTCCTCAAATTGATGGCAGAATTGGTTCAGAACAGATCTCAGAGGCTTCAGTTTGATGTATCTTCTCCAAATGGTATCTTGCTTTTCAGGCAAACTAGTAAAATTATTTCCAGTTATGGTAAGTTGTATATTATAGCGTGTTGATTAATAGTAATTTAATTTTATAACGTGAGAGTTTAATATAATCAAATGTATTACTTTGTATATATTAAAGAATATGCAATTTGTTTTACCTTAAAAAAGTTAGGCCTTGATGTAATACTAATATTATCAGTTATAGTTTGACTGGAATTGAGTAAATGAATTTATTTTATAAATTTGTAACTGTTTTAGGGATATCAATTAATTAAATAATGTGTTTTAGGGATACTTGTCATCTACTAAGATTAAAGTATTGTCATTGAATACAGTGAAAAGTAGCTGTTGGACTGTTGATAGGTCATATCAAAAATAATTTGCCATTGTAATTAACCAATTGTAAATGAATAAATTTATATTATGTGATAGATAGTCATAGTTGTAATGAAAAATGATAGAGAAATCTGTTCATTGAGAAATGGTTCGGATGTTAGATTTTTCAGTTTACTGGAGTTTTCCTTCAACACATTTATGCTACTTTGAAACCCTGTTCTTTCAGTTCATTCAAAACTGGAAACAGTAATACTGGATAGTTAAATGTCTTAATTACATCTTTTGAAGTAGTTCTGGCTAAATAGGACTTAACAGCTTTGATAAGAGTACTACTGTTTGGTAAGACTATTAACAGCTTTGATAGGAGTACTACTGTTTGTCACAACTATTAGCATATTTAATAGGACTACTACTGTTTGGTAAGACTATTAACAGCTTTGATAGGAGTACTACTGTTTGTCACAACTATTAGCATATTTAATAGGACTACTACTGTTTGGT